TGGGGGCAATATGCTGACTCTGTAAACTGCTTAGAGAGGGCTGAAAGCCCTATGAAACGATATATAAGTCTAACTGCTATTGCTATTGCTATCTTTTACACCGGTGCATCTTATAGTCTGAAAAATACGGTACTGATTTTCCCTACCCTGCCATCATAAAGGAGAAAATTGTCCTATGAACAGCTCCTATTTAGAAGCCTGGTAAAATGATTAATAACAGCAACAAAAAAATAATAATAAAACAGGGAGACCTGGACCAAATCAAGACCTGATTGCAGAAACTCAGAATAAATTCATTTTCATTCTTGGAAAATGTTGGCATGGGAGCCTCTAGCTGCTCTTTTTTTTTTCCACCCAGTGGTGTGTTTCTTAGCAGACCTGCAGCATAACAGATCAAAAGACGAAAACTGGGAACATCCAATTTTGAAATAACGCAAACTGGATAAGAAAAAATAAACTCGGTCACCCGAATCTGGCAATGATCAATTTATAATTTTGGTTCCCAATGTTTCTTCTAAAAGAAATGTGGATGGAAAAAATTTAATTGCAGTCATTATAGCAAGCCCGGATTAGCGCTGGAGTGATTTATGGTGTGTTTCAAATAAGCATGCAAGATCAAAGACAGAAGTGCATGTTAGTTACCAATAAAACTAAAGACTTGGCACTAATGCATCTCAATTGCTTTATAACATTTTGATTTAACACTACCTTGGCAAAGCACCCATGGGTTGGGTGTGGGGAAACGTGCTATTTCTGATTGCTTAAACTTGATGACAATTATTTTTAAGAAATTATGGGTCAAGAAATCTAAATAGAAATCAGGTTATGTATTGCGACGTTCTAAATATAACTATCTCAAGTAGTGGTGCAACTGATTTTATTTACTTCAGTTGTAGGGCACCTAAGTTCAAAGGCCCTTTGTGGTTAACAAAGTCAACATAAACACATCCACAAAAAGAAGACATACACATATACAGATAAGCACGAATAACTGAAGCTCATCAAGGAGAGCTGGGGATATCACATGATCCCCTTCTTGAAAAACATTTCTGAATGAAGAAGTATCACTCTGTTCAGAATCATCAAAGGTATTTTCCAGGAATCATTGGACCCACAAACCCAAAGTTTATCTTTGAGAGATTGAATCTGAGTTTGTTCCTCTCCATCTAGGCCTGGGGTGTCAAACTCGATTTCATTGAAGGCCTCATCAGGGTTGTATTTGACCTCAGGTGGCCAGGGTGGGCATGGCCAGCTCAACGTCACTCATGTCAGGGGCTCCTGTGGTATCCTGAGCTCTCTGCCAGCAAAATTGGGCTTCCGAGCTCCGTTTTCGGCTGCGACAGCCTCCTGCAATGCTCTGCCAGTGAAAACAGAGCTCGGGGGAGTGCATGTGGCCCTCCTGAGCTCCGTTTTTGCTTGCAGAAGCACCGTAGTCCAGTCCTTTGCTGTTTCCAGGATCTAAGCACCCCGAGGGCCGGATCCAGCTCCTGGGCCTTGAGTTTCACACACTTGATCTAGACACTCATAATCTCCCAGTTAACAGAAACAGAACAACAGAATTGGAAGGGATCTTAGACCTTCCCCCTTTTCTAATCCAATTTCCTGCTCAAGCAGGAGACCCTATACAAAAGTCTCTTCTTAATCATCTCCAGTGATGAGGCACCCACAACTTCTGGAGGCAAGTCATTCCACTGGCTAATTGTTCTCACAGTCAGGAAATTTCTCCTGTGTTCTTAGTTGAGGACAACCACGCTTGTACTGATGATACTGGACTTCATGCCAATGATCTCTCCCAATGGTTTCTGGTAGAAGTTAAATAGAAGGAGGGAGGATTAAAATCTAGATAATGTTATCTAGGTGGAATTCTCTATCTGGAGTAGAAGACTTTGGGTGGAACATTTTTCCTTGCCTCATGGACTGGAACCACCCCTTCAACAAGGAAAAGCACCGCAAAACAGTGGCCCCACTCCAGTCCTTCAGAGATGGTCCAGGCAGGGATGGGATTCAGCCTATTCGGTCTGGTTCAGGCAAACCAGTAGCTCCAACAATCAGCTGAGAGTGAACCGGTTCACCCTGACAATCAGGTGGGCCCACTCCTGTGCTATACTAACCTTTATTTTCTTTGTTTGAAGCCCAGCTGATAGGCGCGCCTTACTGTTTTACTCACCGGGGAAGTAGAAGGTAAAGTTTTCAGCTGCTTTTAAACCCACTGCGCTTGTGTGAAGTGTGCACTCAACGAATCAGTTGTTACACCAGTTAAATCCCACCACTGGGTCCAGGAGGATGTCATAGTTGATATCAAAAACACTGAGAAATCAAGGAGAACCAAGGATTGCACATTTTTAGATGGGCCAGTGACTTTTTGCCTCAGGTCTTTTTCCTTTCAGAAATAGGAGCTGGAATTCGGAGCTGGATAGGAGTCCATTTTGTGTGTCTTTTGAAAGGGTTGTCCCAAAGGTGCTTTTATAACCATGACCTTGATGAAGAAGAAACTCCATGGATGTTGAGGGAGTTGATAGGCTTCTCCCCTCCCACAAGCAACATACTGGCAGGCCCTATCTTGAGGATGTGGGGTCAAAAAGGACAATAAGGCGGCCATGGCCTTCAATTGAAAGTTACCCATTTGTGTGGGGGGGGGCAGGAATAACACACATAAAAAGGAACATAGATTTGATCAAATGGGAATGGGCGGCATCTTTTTTGACTTGCAGATATATCCTGCTTTATTCAATGGGAAGAAATCCAATTGCTGTCAACATTTTGGACCGGGGCAGTAGCAAATTATTGAAATATGTCTCCTGCCCCATTGCCTTGTTCCTGTTCTTCCCAAGATCATGAAGCAGACTCCTCGTCCCAATAAAACCCCTTATATTTAGATTACAGGGAATTTCTCTCCAGCAAAGTCCCAGCAAACAGTCTTTCATGAGATTTCACAACTACAGACCTTTTATCAGGCTTGGAGAGTTGCCAGGCTGATGTCTTCCAAATGCCACACTGTAGCAGCAATTGGCAAGAAGTCAGGAACAGATCTTTATCCTAATGAATTGAACTAATTGTCTCCTGCAAACTCCACTCCC